GAAAATAAGTGACAGCTGAGCACCTATCAAGGATCTGCTGTGCGCTGGCTTGATGAGGTAGGGAAGGTCGCAAGAAGAGAGCAAAAAGGTTGAAGGCAGAAGGTAGAGCAAACAGAAAGAACGCAAGCATACAGTAGGTTTACTGATGGAGTCATATCATATAAGACAGAATCGAGGCGGCGCGGAGGTACACAATTTATTGTTGGATGCTGGAATAACACTAATCTGGATAGAGCCTGGGAAAGCTAGTCCGAGAGCTAGACGCTTGCAGGTGGAAAAGTAAAACTCGTTACGACGAGTAAGAGTTAGAAGAACGTCTAGATTAGAGTGACTAAAGCGCTGCTGTGCGCTGACCTGATGAGTTAGGGATTAGTTTCCGAAGCAAGCTCAAAGAGTTCAAATGAAGAAAGGGCAGCAAGCAGGCAGAATGTATGCATACCTTAAGTTTGCGCACGGCGACGCAGCATATGAGGCAGAAGCGCAGCTATTGAAGTCCTGTTATTTTGCCATTGGAATAGTGTTAACCTAGACGGAGCCGGAAAATGCCAGTTAAAGATCTGGACTCCTACATGAGCAGGTATCACAGAAGTTGCAGCGAGTAACGGATAAATAAACGTTTAGAAAGGAGAGGCTAAGGAGCGGCTGTGCGCAGACAAGTTGGGTTAGGTTTGCTGGAGAGAAAAGAGTCAAAACTGGTTAAATGATGAATGGACAGCGAACGGAAGGCGCACAAGCATGCAATACGGTTGTTTAATGTTTCAGTGCATTAGAGGCTAAGATGCAGCGATGCGCAAATAATCAAATGATGCTGGGGTGTTAAAAGGAACATTTTTAAGGTAGTCTGATCCAGGAAATTTCAGTGGGAGGGTTGGACTACAGGTTAAGTAGGGGTCACAGAAGAGTACTGTATAGCTGAGCATCTAGCAATGAGCGGCTGTGCGCCTACCTGATGAGAGTAGGAACGTCGCCAGAAGAGAGCTTAAAATGACTGACTAACGAAAGGCACAAAACAGGAAGAACGCAAGCTAAGGTAGTCTGAGCCAAAAATACCAAGCAGAGAAGTGGATTACAATATAAGTTGGTGTCAGACGTTGCAGCAGGTTATGAATAAATGAACGTCTAGAAACGAGAGGCTGGGGAGTAACTTTGAGCAGACTCGAAGAGATAGGAATGGTTTCCGTAAGAGTGCTATACATTTTAGTTGAAAGGACCAGGAACGGAGGGTGCCCAAGCATACATCATGGTTGCTAAATAGGTCAGAGCATTAAAGGCTAAAGCTTAGCGGCGCGCAGGTACTCTTACCATTCTAGGGTGCTTTGGGGATAGTACCGAGGTGGACTGAGGCAGAAAAAGCTTGTAAGTGAGCTTGCCGCATGCATAGGGTGGTACAACTCTTGCAAGGCGTAATGAATAAATGGACGTCTAAAAGGAGTGGCTCTGCGCTGACTTGATGAAATAAAAATGATTTCCAGAAGAGAGCTAAATGTTAGATGGAAGGACACTAACAGAAGGAGCCTAAGCACACATTAAGGTTGTTAAATACTGGGCAGTCAGCGTTTTCGCAAGTTGTTAAATGTGTAGTCAGGATGAAGAATATGAGGGGAGAGCAGCTATGGGATGCAGATATGTTAGCATGGTCTTTGATGCTTACTGGCAGTGTTGTGGTGAGTGGCAGAGATCCGGGGGAAAGATTTGTAACGAGTTGAGGACAAGGATTATTTTTTCTTTGTGGTTGAGAGAGATTTGATGGGGAAGGCGCTTGTATGTGTTCATGTCCACTTTCCCACAGTTCCTCTTCAAGTCCGTTAATGCTTAAAAGAGTAGAAATAAACCTGACTGTGAGGCAGCTATTAAGTAATGAACGGAATTGGATAACGTTATCAGATGCCCGTACAATGTGTGGAAGCCTATACCACACATACGTGTATCTGTAGAGATAGCAGTTTGCACCCTTACTACTGCAGGCTTTCCACAGGATACTGGATTGTGGTCGACTACGAAGCAAATAGGAGCTTTTGTCCGACGATAGGAAGGGCGTTAGTGCGCTTGCAAGAAGGCTGTTGCTGAGCAGATATAGGAAGATGGGGTTGGTTACCAGTCTGCTCATCCATAAAGGCTCCAGCGCGAGTCCGATGCGTCGACCACGATAGTTGGGAGTAGAGTGGCCCAGAAGACGTTTGGTGAACGATCGTTGGACTTTTCAATGGCAACTCTGTCGCATTTTCTGGAGTTGGGAAACACAATAGAGCAGTATTCTAGCAGAGATCGGGTGCAAGTTTTGTATACAGCCAGCCTAAATACTTGCAGTGCCATGGATTTGAATAGGTAGCTTATGAAAGAGCGTGTTTTTGCTGAGCAATGGCCAACTTGTTCTGCCAAGTTAAAAGAACTGGTGTAATGTACACCCAGGCCTTGAACTGTGAGGCTATTACCAAGCGGTGTGCCTTGAAGCGCTAACGCCTTAGGCAGAACGATGCATCGATATAAGAGTTCGGTGCATTTCGCCGGTGAGAATGCCAGGTTTCAAGTGTTGCACCAAACATCCAGAGCTCTAAGATCGCTTTGAAACTGGGAAAGACCGGCTTGCATGTTTGATGGGTGAATGGACAACACTAGTTTGATGTCATCGGCAAACAGGTAGGACTGGCCATATTGTATTTTTTATCCTTCAACGAACAGTTGTAGGAACTCCTGGTCATCTACAATCCTTTCAGCTGTATTGGCCTTGGTCAAATCGGCTACATTCACGATGCTAAGGCAGCGCTCGCGAGGTGGCGCTTTGGCATTTCCTTGGGTCTTCGGCTTCCGAACAGGCGGGTCATCCTTAAGTACTTTCTCCAGTTGATCAACTCAGTTGGATCTTCAAGTTTTCTCGCTATTCCGAAGTAAACACCCAAAAGTTTTCGGCAAATATTCTAGCCCTGCCGAATAAAAAACCAACCTCCAACTACCATGACCACGAAAAACGTGGTAACAAAATCGCTGCCAAGGTAGCAAAAAATGCAGCCAAAAAGCCCTACGACTACGCCAGACCTACGCTAAATATATAGGGCCTCAATGACCTTCGGCTTCTAGAAAACGTAGGTCAGATGGTAAAATTAGTAGCCTCCATGCCAAAACCCCGTATGCTGGCAATCAGAAGAAGGAATGGAAGGTTCCGGAATAACCGAAATCAATGCTCGGTCGAGGAAAATCGCTTAATTGCTTAACTAATGGTTATGCTTTAAGTTTCATCCTTCCCGGATACCATCTTTACTGAAACGGCTGCCGTAGTGTATGATGCTAGCCTGGGGTTGACCAGAAGCCTCCTTGAATTGGCTCCACGCCTATTGGTGCATTGCCTTGGCTGTAGTGTTCTGGATTCATGTTCCGTGCTCCGCTGTTTGGTATCGTTTGTCTGATGATAGGATGCTTCCACGGGCTCTTTAGGCAGGTTGAAGCTGTCGGTCAATTGGTCAAATGGAAGCTCGGCGGGTTCTGGTGCTTGTGGCTGACACATTGTTGGTTGAAGTTGGTTTGCATGGCTTACGCACACCTGCATTCTAACCAGCACGTCGTATATGATGCTTCCGCGCTTGCCCTGGATCTTGCCTGACGTTTATTTCGCGTGTCCTTCCCGGCAAGCAAGTACAAGTACGGGCTGACCCCGTTGAAATGAACGTCCCTTGGTACCATACCGCCGATTAAAGTCACGTTATATCTTGAGGTTCTTTTCACCAGCTGGGGACTCTGAGGACCACCGAACTGGATCAAATGGCATGCGAAGCTTTCTCTTCATCACTGCCCCTTCACCTCCTATATATCTTCTTCCCTCCTCGATTTGAGGAGAGCGCGTCTGAATGTACCCACAAACCACTCCGCCTGGCCGTTCTATTGTAGGTGGAAAGTTGGAGACCGCACGTGTTTGATGGCGCAGCATTTGCAGAACTCCGTGAATGTGGCCGAGGTAAACTTTGCTCCATTGTCCGTCACCAATGTTTCAGAGCAGCCGAACCTGATGAACAGTTGTCGCAACCCCGAGACTGTCGCGCTGGTTTTTGTGTTGTTCAAGTGGGATAATTCGCGCCACTTGTTACAAGCGTCAAGCACGCTGAGAAAGTTCTGTCCAGTGACTGGGCCTGCAAAGTCGACATGAACACGGCTCCAAGGTTTAGTTGGTTTTGGCCGTGAGTGGAGTTCTGCCTTTGGCGGTGCCCTCGAAGCGGTAGCGCAGTTGCCAAAACCTTTTGTTTGCTGCTCCAGCATCTGTCCATAAGCGGCCAATGCACACAACTTCGGGCAAGCGCAGTGATTCGGTTGAGCGCTGGATGTCCTGCATTGAACTGCCGCAGCACTATGTCATGCAACGCCTGCGGAATGACTACTGTCTCTGAGATCATGTCGCAAGCGTTCACAAAGGAAGGCGAAGGTTTTCGCTGATAGACATGATGCATTTCGGCTGATGAACACGGAGGTGGCTATCTGGTTCTGTGGAAGAGTGTAACCTTCAGGATAGGGTCTCGAAGCGTTTCGGCCCGCATAGCATCGGCCGTAATTGGCAGATCATGTAATGCCTCGCTCACCAGGAATTTGACATCAGGTTCTATAACAACCGTGGCTATGCTGGCGTCCTCGTGCTTCTGCTGCTAAACAAATAAATAAATAAAGAAATATTTTGTTCCATTTTTGTTCCATTGAGGCACACCAATTCAAGAATGATCAGAACGTCAAACAGTTATGTTGCGCACCAGATACTTTACAATGCAAGTAATTGGCTGTGGCCAAAGGTGTACATTTGCAGAAATAGCCGAAGCACTCATGCGGAGCAAAGTCAGCAGTGGGGTGCCGATAAAATGGTTTCACTTGTGTTTAGAGAAATTAGAAAAAGCATGGTAGGTTTAGTGGGGACAGTATGTGAAGACTGCAAGTATCATTGTTGTAATTGTCGGCCAAATATTGAAAAATGACGCTAGTCTATATTCCAGAGTGTACCAGTGGGCGATGCCTTTATTCTGTGGTGAGTCACATCCGCCACGTCAGTGTTGATAAACGGACATCTGTGGCTTCATTTATAGGGTGAGCGCTTGCCATGTGGAAGCCCACTAAGCCCTGGAACACTGTCATCGATTGCTTTGAACAGACATGGACAACCAGCAGAGCTTCTAATGAGCCATTGGTTCATTTAGTTATCCGCAGTCGAATGATTCGTCTGTTGGCTAAAGGAATAGCACAGTCAGAGCAAAACATGGACGCTGAAGCCAGTCGAGTAAGAAGAAGGATGTTGCAGGTAAGTAGAATTTCCAGTGTATAGGATCTCACCTTCTCTGGTTATGTATATTTTCTGGTGTGTGAAGAATTCGTATCCAGCTATTTTTCGCTGGGACATCGGTGATTGAGGTGTTCGGTGCAGGTGGCTGGTTTTGAAGTAAAGTTATGGGCCAGTTAAGTCCTTGTTGGTTACTTCATCCCAGCTCAGACGGAGCTGGTTCTTCAGTTTAATCCCGGATCTCTAAGAAGTTCGGGTCCTCAGAGAAAGGGGATAGAGAGAACAGGCCAAGAGAAGATCAAAAAGGACAGTCATGGCACGAAGCAGTGGGAAGAATAAATAAATAAATAAATAAATATTTTATTCTCGACAAAGCGACTAAGCATGTAACGCACGCTTCCGAGACACGTAATCCCAGCAAGCGGAAAATGTGTTGGCTCATACAGTGACTCATTGGGTCTCAGAGTGATTCGCGAAGACGTGGCCACTTTCATTGAGCAGATATGAGATTCCTTCCAATGTCGATGACATTTTTCTATCCTGTGGTGCCAGTGAAGCCATCAAGGTTAGTTCTGACCGCCCGAAAACAGACTCATTCCATTCTTCATATTTTTCTGAATTCTCAAGTTGTTAACGAAGTGATTGCTGTTTTTGATATGCTAATTTTACGAGCTTTATTACTTGATTGCTTTTTAATTAGTTACCTAACTGCTATATGTCATGTATGCGTTCTTCGCTCTATGTATCATTAGTGAGTATTTTCCCAACAATCGCGTTTTTGCAGTTTTACAGAACACTTAATGAACAAAGATGGAGGCAAATTCACACACTTTTCTTGTTCCAGTTTTGGCTCAGTCGAAGTGAAGCGGAAACGGCTTTTGATATCAACGGTGCATTTAGTCCGGGAACCACTACGGACCTTACGTTACAGTGATGGTTCTCAACATTCCGAAAATGTTATGTACCTTGAAAATGGTGTACGTTGTGGACGATCGCCAGTAACCAACGATGATCAATTAGTCCTTAGTTGAAGCAGATCTGTGTAAACCTTTGCAAGTTTCTATGTCTGATTTATCTGTATCGGGAGATTGGCATGTTGAAAAGGCTTGAAAAGTAGGTGCCGTACGAATTGAATGAAAACAAAAGAAGTCGTCGTTTTGAAGTGTTTTCTGTCCTTCTGCGCAATAAAATCGACCCGTTTCTCGACCGGCTTGTACATGCGACGAGACGGGACCTTAACGTGGTGCGACGGTTTGCGTACCTCATTGACCCATTGAGCTATACTGGGTGATGCCTCCGGGCACCTTGAGAGCTACTCCTACCAGGTTGGTCAATGGTGAGAGGTCAGACAAACTCAGTCTGCTGGTCCTCAGGTTCGGGGGTTTGAAATGTGATGGCGTCCATTCCTGTAGAACTAAATCATTGCCACTTCTTCAATGCCTTGCGGACAGGCTTTTGAGCCAAAGGCTTTGGATGAGGACCCTAATCGTCCTCCTGTCTAGGCCTGGGCGCCCTGACAGTATCTCAGCCCGCATACAACCATGACATTTTCTTCAAACATAAACTTCATCCTGCATCGGCTGTCGCGCAGATTATCAAGGGTCGCCTTATCTGCTGCATACAGCAGGGCGGATAAGCGAAAACATGCTACTGCTGGCGTCTCCTTCTTACTTTTCCACCTTTTTCTCTTACTCCCATCCCGACCCCCATTACTAACCTTCCTTCTATAATTCCCAGCTTAATTGACAGCAACCGAATTGCCACTGGAGTAGAACCATCTGTAGCCACCTTCTCGCGACACGCACCGGACGCCTATCGGTAACAGACCCATATAAGGCCACGCTGTCCCGTTTCCATGGCGACGTTCAACGTTCGCACTATAAGATCAAGAGGTCGACAGGCTACACTCGCACGCACCTTTTACACACTGGGTATTGATGTGTGTTGTGCGTCCTAAACTAGGATCGATGACCTTAACGGGGTTGTTGAATTAACTGCACCCGGCTTATCCTCTCGTTATTGGTTGCACGTATCCGGAGACGCCGATGCAGCACTCACGGGTCGAGCTGGTGTAGATGTCATTCTAAGCTCCAAGGCTGAGCCATCGTTGGTTGATTGGATTCCGGTGAACAACCGTTTATGTGCATCCCGTTTGACGACATCAGCCAAGGTTGATTCACGAAGTAGTACAAAACGCTGTTTGTGTGTGATTTCCGCTTATGCTCCCACTGACTGCAGTTCTAATGCTGTCAAGGACACATTCTATCACGAACTGAACGTGCTACTACGCAGTGCTACTAGTTCAGATATTATAGTACTTGCAGGGGATATGAACGCACAAGTAGGGCGTCTGAGCTCTTCAGAAGCTCAGCTGGATGTTAATTATGGGCTTAACTCCGAACGGACTGACAACGGCGAGCGTCTGCTGCAACTATGTGCGGAGCACCAGTTGTTTTTTAGTAGCACTGCTTTTAGACACAGTGGGCGCCGAAGTGCCACTTGGCGTCCTCCTGTAGCTGGCCAGCAATGGACCCAAATTGACCACATAGCCATAAGTTACAGGTGGCGTGGTTCCATCCTGGATTGTCGCTCATACTGGAGTACCTGTGTCGACTCTGATCATGCCTTGGTACGCTGTCGTTTCTCCATGAACTTTACAGGGAAGCGCACCATGCGTATCCTTCAATTGGTAACTGGGAAATTGTCTCAGCCCTCGGTCAGGCAAGCCTATGAAGACGCACTGCATACCGAACTTTCGCTGTATTATTCTAATGACACTGAGCTTCAGTGGAATAGGATCTCGGCCGCCATGCACGACGCAGGAGCATCTGCTTGTGGCACTATCCATCGTCACCGCACAAGTCACTGGATATCCGAGAGGTCGGTGAACCTGTTGGAATCTAGAAGAAACCTCCCGGCTGGCTCTAAGTACAATGTGACCAGACGGGCTATTAGGCGCGAACTAAAGCGGAGCCTACGTGCTGACAAGGAAGCCTGGTTGACCAGTAGGGCTCAAGAAATGGAGGAGGCAGGAGCAGTAGGCAATTATCGCAAGCTCTTCCAGCTAATCCGCACCACTGGTCCCAGGAATCCAGGCGTCAGTGAGACAATCAGAGACAGCGCGGGTGCACTGATACACAACAAGGAGCGCCGTATGGCTCGTTGGGCGGAACACTTTCAAGATCAGTTCAGTTGGCCCCATGCTCCCGGACCTCTTCCTACTCAGGTGATGCAGGACGAGCCATGGACGGTTAGTTTATAGCCTCTGTCGGTGGCCGAGATCTGAAACGCGATCACAGCCCTCAATCGTTTTCGTGCCGCTGGCCCGGATTCCCTCCCACCTGCACTATTTAAGGATGGAGGTGAGGTCCTCTGCAAAGCACTGACTTCCTTATTCGAATGTATCTGAAAGGGAAAGAGTGTCCCGGCTAATTAGAACGAATCGATTATAGTGGCAATATACAAGAAGGGCAGTCGCACAGACTGTTCTAACCACAGACGTATCAGCCTAACGCCAGTTGTGACAAAATTACTGGCCTCGATTATCGTTCGTCGCCTCACTGCAGAACGGGAATCTCGGATTAGAGAAGAGCAGGCCGGTTTCCGCCTAGGACGTGGCTGTATAGACCATATATTCACTTTGCGGCAGGTGCTAGAGCAGCGCCACGCATACCGCAGATCGACAATAGCTGTGTTCCTCGATTTCAAGAGTGCCTTCGATTTAGTCGATCGATGGATTCTGTTCGAAATACTTGCGCGGAAAGGTGTTCCCACGAAATATGTGAACATCCTACGTGCTCTATACTCGAACACTACAGGCCGCGTCAGGGTCTATGGTGTCCTATCGGATAGCTTTTCGACTACAAGTGGCGTTCGTCAGGGTTGTCTGATTTCCCCATTTTTGTTCAATTTCGTCGTAGATTCTATCATGGAGTGTTCCCTTGCGGAATCTCACGATGTAGACGTTGAAATGCTGCCTGGTGAAAGATTAGTTGATCTTGATTATGCGGACGATATCGTCTTGCTTTTCGACGATGTTGCGGCGGCACAATCAACCCTGAATAGCCTGTCCAGATTGGTCCCATTATTTGGTATGCACTTCGCACCTTCAAAGTGCAGTGTTGCTGCAGGACCATCAACCACTTGATGACCCCTTGACCCTTGCTATCTAGGAACTCGAGGTGGTTGATTAGTTCACTTATCTTGGCAGCTGCATCAGCAATGATGGACGCATAGAAACTGACGTCAGCTCACGCATTGCAAAAGCCAGAGCTACCTTCTTGAACCTGCGGCATCATTGGCGACAGAAGGGAGTTTCCCTCCGTCTGAAAGGCCGGGTATACAAGGCCACAGTGAGGGCCATTCTTCTCTATGGTAGTGAGACTTGGCCCCTTCGGTCTGAAGATCTGAGGCGCCTTCAAGTCTTTAATCATCGTTGTCTGCGAAGCATTGCTGGTGTCAGATGGCACCAGCGTGTCCGCAACGATGATGTGCGTAGGCGAGTACTAGGTAGTGATAAACATGCTAGCTCCCTCGAACAACAGATAGCACTGAATAAGTTGCGTTGGCTCGGGCACGTGCTACGTATGCCTGGTCACCGCTTACCTAGGAGGGCGTTGTTTAGTCTGCCAGGTGTAGGGTGGCGCAAGGCTCGAGGTGGACAGAAGTTGACTTGGCAGCGGGAAATGAAGTCACTGACGACCAAACTGGGTGCCGTTGGTCCGTCTCGCCTCCCGGGCTGGAGTCCACGTGACTCGCCTTGTGCTTGGCTTGAGACTTTACAGGACATGGCTCGTAGTAGACACCAGTGGCGCGTCTGCTGCCGTCTCCTAATTGGATTGCCTGTTTAAAGTGTGTTTGTTGCTGAGTTATCTGGGGGGTAATTGCTAATTATGACGCGTGGCAGTGAAAGCCGCAAGGAAGCTGTCTCGCCGATGCCGCCTTATCTTTGCACGATAGCCAGCTGTTTGTGACGGAATGTTGTCTACACAAGGTGTAGGCGCCTTGACCCTGAATGTTTGCTTAGGGCATGAAGGTTTTCAGGTAAGTCCCCCTTCTCTCCCTCTTATTCTTTATTTCATAGGTCCTCATGGTTGTATGGCAGCGAAGCATCAGTTCAATTGGCTGATGTACTGATGTTGATGATGATGATTGTGAGCATGCAGAAGACGTCTGAACAACAGGAGGTTTATCAATCAACTGAGAAGGTACAAGATTCATGGAAACGCGCCTTGAGACCGGTGGGTGTGTGTCAGATGATTGGCTAGCTGGTGTGAATGATAACCAGTCCGTGCACGGCTGAGGTAAACGGATCGAACTCATTCGCGTACGTGACAAATTGATGGGCGAGTACTAGGCGAGGATAATCAGGTCAGTTTAGTTCTTTAGGACAACGAATAAAATTGCATAGCTTGTGTTGGCTTGGTCACGGGCTACACACGCCAGGTCACAGCTTACCGAGGAGCGTTTTGTTTTGTTCGCCGGTTGTGGAATGACGTGTGGCCCGAAGTGGTCAAAAGTTGTCTTGACATCGAGATATGAGGTTATTGACGACCGAACTGCTTTCTGTTAGTTCGTCTCGTCTTCCGGTCTGGAGTCCATGTGAACCGCCTCGTGCTTGGCTGGAAACATTTCGGGACAAAGCCTACAGTGGTCACCATTGGTACTTTTACTATTGTCTTCTCGTTTGATTGCCTGTTCAAATTGTGTCTAGTCCTGTGTTATCTGCTAGGCAGTGAAAGCCGCACGGAAGCTGTCTCATCGATGCCGAGGTTTTTTCACAACATTACTAGATGTTGGTTATGACATGTTCTTGACAGGTGTATGCGCATTGACCCTGAGTGTTTGCTTACAGCATTGCGTTTTTACACTAGGTCCCCTTTCTCTCCTTTACTATTCTTCAACCCTTAAGTCATTCCGGTGTACGGTAGCTGAACAGCAGTTCAAATCACCGTTGTACTGATATTTGCAGGAGCACGTTTTCGCATATGGTAAACCCTACAGACGCAATCTTGGGCTGAACCATGGATTTTCCGACTCGTGGCTTTTCGGTTTGCTTCATTTTGATTATTCACATTTTGCTTCTTTTGACTGCACCCGTGTCTGTGGTTTCAATACTTTCCCTGTTTTACAGAGCGTTTCGGGCCCTAATTATTTCATCATAGTTCCCATTTCTTTTTTAGCCTTACAGTCAAATGTCTTCACTCGATAAGGTTCGTGTTTACACACAGTCACTTTCGTTGAAATATCTAGGACTTCGATGATGCCGCTGAAAAAGTTAGGAATTTAAAGAAGCGCCCGTCAGTCAATGAATTGTTGGATTTGTATGCGTTGTTTAAGCAAGCTACTGTAGGTGATAACACAACAGGTTTGCGAACTTTCCGTGGCCAAACACTTCATTCCAGATGCTCCGTCGGCGATCAATTTTCAAGCGAAGTCGAAGTGGGATGCTTGGTCTTCTAAGAAAGGTGAGATAGATTCGGTTTATCTTTTCCCAGTGCATCTGTTTCGCAATCTGTCTCTTCAGCTATGATATTTACTTTTTGAAATAAGCACTGTTCTTGCTATCCTTATTTCATTGACCATTCTTTGTTTCTCAAACAATGAATCTCTAAAATCCAGTTGCTATGATACACGTTCCTAGAATAACAAAATGTACGACGGTAAGAAAATACAGTATGAAGAAAGTGGAATCTAGATAGAAGTGTGCAAAACTAGTCGGGATGCGATGAAAATCAAGAAACTGAACGCAGGAACGCCAGACAGAACGACTCCGCCATGTCCGATAGAAATTTACAACCATTGATGTGGACCATCCCGAGTTCCCATCCTGGAAGACGGCACGCACCAGTCTGACCAAGTCTCTCAATCACTTTCTTCATGTATTTAAGCCACGTCATTGACCTGTTACCTCTTGGTCTCTCCCAAATTGATGCAGCGACAACGGATGAAGCACGCTGAGGAGGCCGACCAACGGGCATACGGAGAACATGGCCTAGCCAACATGGGCAGTTCAAGTTCAACAAGCACTCTAGTGAGGCGCCAGAGGCTTTATTCCCAAAAATCAACTCGTGGACCACAGCATTGCCTACCCGGTACTCCTACCAAATGTGACTAAAGTAAAAAATCGATCCATTGGCTTTTTGCTGGCGGTTTAATTCGGTGGCGCATTAGTCAAGTCATGCAACAAACCTTGCACTTTGAAGGCTCAAGTCACTCGCGGGAGCATGTAGCGCTGCTCGTCAGTCTGTTCATTTGTGCCTGGATAACGACTACGTATGACCCAATGAGAGCTGTCATCCGCGTACTCAAGGTTTTTCAGTCATTCAATCAGCAGAACTATCACACCGAAATGGTCGGAAAATACAGTCATTCATGGTCATTTCTATCATAAACTTAAAGGGGAAACGAGACAGACCAACCCTGGCGAACTCCACTTGTCTTGGGGAACTCAGGAGACAGTTTCCCGTGGAGACATCAGAATGAAAAAGCGGTTTCCAGGCACTCCTTTCACAAATAGGCAATGCCACATGCTGGCGCGATCAACAGAGTCGAAGACGGCTTTCACGTCTCGAAGAAAACAATTATAGTCGATCGTCTGTAAGTGTGTCTCTGTTCTAACACTTTTGGAAGGGTAAATATTTGGTCGATGCAACCGCGACCAGGGTGAAAGGCAGCATGGCTTTCGGTGACACGTACACGTTAGCCGTAGGTGGGTAACACATCACAGCTAGTGTGCCACAATACAAAAGTCGGTTCTCACGAGGATCACTAATAATAGAAATAATGTGTCAGCTGTACGCCGTAACGGCGCTTCGTTGCTGCGCGACCACCACCAGTCGCGCGCGAGCTGAGTATACCGCGAGGACGCCCACGCGGATTCGAACCGGTGACCTTATGGTTGAAACCAAACGAGCATACCACTCGGCCACCGGCTGACACGAGGATCACTAAGCCATCGAAGAATAGTACCCGTGAGAACTTTGGAGGCAATGGGAGGCAGATTAGTGCCTCGTTGATTTTCCTTTAAAGTTCGCTGACTTTTTTGAGTATAGGTACGACAGTTGACAGTCGCTAATCTGAAGGCACCTCTTCATGTTCCAAATAATGTTGAATAGAGCTGCGAGCATAGTCAACAAAGAGTCACCTCCATCTTCCAGCAAACATGGAGGAAGGTCGTCGGGTCGAGGAGCCTTGTTTCGTTTCAACACGGAAAGTTTATGTCGGACATCCACCAAACTGGGGGCGTGATGTCAGCTTTCTGCTTGGCCTCAGATGATCCAGGAAGCGGCAGTGTCGCAGCAGGCCGGCTGAACTACTCTTCAAATTGTTTCGCTCAACGGGTTAGTTGAAACGGTAGAGAATGGATCAAATGTCCAAATTTCTCAGCTATTGTCTTACTAACCGATGGCTTTCGTGGACCAGTGCTCCCATCAATCTAGAACAGCACTCGGTTGTTCCAAACAGTGCTGGCTTTTTCCGTTCCCTGGCTTTTGCCACTTACTAGCGTTCGCCGTCAATATGAAGACTCCTTGTTACTCGTCGTTTCATTGCGTAACGGGCAAGCTGCAACTCAGTTCCCAATGGAACCTGTTTTCGTGCTTAGATCGAGCTGATCGACGTCTCAGAGATCCATTCGCAGTTGGGTAGTGTCGAGTTAACCATGCAGCAGGCGTCAAAGCACATCTGGACGACTCCAATCAACGTTCGGCTAACCAACCTCAGTCATCACCGACAGCTGGGGGACCAAATCATCATGATATTGTCAATCTACAGACTGCGATATCAAGTTACCAAGGTTACAAGTTAGCCACTTCTTTGAGGCGGGAAGAGTGAACGTCAGACGTGCGCGCACTAGAGCATGGTTAGATTACGGGCACTTGCTCCAAACTGACCGACAGTTTTGGACTGATACACGTCGCCTATAGCTGATGGCAACATGGTGCAGTTAGATTCACGTCATCGAAAAATTCGGTGGATACTATGTGAGACGATGTGAACGTTTGTGCTGGAAAGCTGTGTTGCTTATAAAAATGCTGTTGTTGGCACATAGTTTCAGGAATCGATCGCCATTGGCTGTTCGGTGTGCACCGAACCCGAAGCGGCTTAGAATACGTTGTTCAGAGTTCAAAAGGCGACTCATCTGAGATTACATGTCACTAGCAACAATCACGACATCAGTATTTTTCACCACGCAGAGGAGAGATGAGGCTTCACAGTAGAAATCGACCTTCATCTCTTCCGAAGTGCAGTCGTAAGCCGAAGAAATGAAAAAACACATTGACTCCAGACAGTGCTAATTAGCCCAAACATAGGCTCATGGTCGAGCTGCACACATGTGGCTGCTCACTGACACAATATCGCCAGCGACGCGAAAAGTGTAGTCATTATCGTCAAATTCGGAACCAAGGAGTCAGCCAGATGCTCTGCAATACATCTGAATACTGTTAGCTCGGGTTGGTGGTTGTTGTCTTTTTTGGTTCTCCGAGCTGAGCAATTTGATTGCAGATGTTTCGCCACCAATCAAGGTGGAATCTCCAGTGCGTAATGGCAAATGGCTTGTCAGCAGGTGCTGGGCTTCGAGTAACTTCGAGGATCGATTTGCTCGAAGCCCAGTACCTACTAACAAACCACTTGCCATTACGCACTGAGGATGCCACCTCGAATCGTCGCGAAACGTCTGCAATCAAATTGCTCAGCTCGGGGAGCTACTTACGGCTTCAGCCAGGTGCTCTTTTTGTAGTTTACCTGTTCTCTTCAGTGTCCGTGTCCGATGTTCATGGACACTGCTTTCTAAAGCATCGTCGCCAATTACAATCCCGTACTGCTAAGTGTGTTCTGTGTAATACCGTTATACCATCTGTAAGCTCTCTCTTGACATAGCTTAACATGTATCAGGCGTTGTTATCGTCGCACCGCCTGTTTATCTTAATATGTTCAAATGATGCATGGATATCTGACATGTAAATTATTGTTATTCAAGTACGTATATTGTTTTTGTCGTTTGCCCGTAGCCTAAAGGATCACAATCCTGCCTTGTAATCGGAGGGTGCGGGTTCGAGCCTACATAGAGACCCGGGCAAGGCAAAAGACAACGCATCTGCAGTACGCCGGTACGCAGTACCAATGTTTCTTACCACACAACCATCACCGGTCGCACATGGGCTAAAGATACTGCAAGGGTCACTGTGTCCCTACGCAGGCTCGAACCCTCGCCCTCAGATTACAAGGCAGGCTTGTGGTCATTAAGCCTACGAACCGGCAGGGGACCGTGCGGCCTCCGCAGTATCCGTAGCCCAAGCGCAACTGTTGGTGGTTTTATGGCAGCAAAGCGTCGGTACTGCGTACGTAGTACAGTGGAAAGAAAAAAGCATCACAGTCCAGAATAAGATCAGGGACGAGCTGAAATGGAGGATACTTGCAGTTAGTGAACATAAATCTTAACCTAAGGGATGACTTCGTTTGGAGGCAACCCTCCTAGCGTCTCCTCTCGGGTTTAGATGTTCGTATGACTGCTGTTGTAGATCCAGCTACATAACTACACCTTGTCGTCTTATTCGATCAGTTCATCTAGATGTGCAGTTGACCAAATAATTGGTTAGATGATTTCCGGGTTTCGGACCTCCGCTTAGCTCAAAAGTTTCCAGGGGAATGTTATTGGGAGCAACAGGGTCTTGAGGCGTTATCGTCTGGCAGGGTGACGAATGCAGCTGGTATTCATGGCGGACCCACAGTGAGAAGTGTAGATCCACCTCATAGGTACACTGGCCCTGTACCCACTTTTTGGTCTCATCACGCTAATCCTTGGTCAACACAGATTACCCAACGTGAAACTTGCGGTTTACAGCACCGTAAGGACGTTGAGTTGGTTCTCCTTGCGGTTGTTTCAACCAATCGGCAGACGTGAAGCTGAATGAATGACATCGACTGGTAAGCGTTGTTTTCGATTCATCAAAAATTCCGCCAGTGAGTCTATTTGGTGTATTGGAATTTGCTGTTGATCTATAACTCAGTAAGCAGATTTCGGTGGTTTCCGATGCTATTTCCTCCCCCGTGAGTGCTAACAACGATCACTTGAAAGTGTCAACGAAACGTTCCGACTGGCCGTTGGATTGTAGGTGGAATCGCGGTGATGGGATGTACTGAATGCTCTTTTATTCACAAAACATGGGGAATTCGGTGGAACTGAACGCTATATTTGGGACGCAGCACGGTGAAACACATGCCTTAGCTTTAACATGGTAGCACGATCTGTCGTACAATACATGGTGTAAGCTTCTAGCCATTTACTTTAGATATCAGCCATGAGCAGATGATGTTGACCATTGCTGGGTCCGGCAAATGTCAACATGAAGCTGTGACCAAGCGGTATTTAGTGCTGGTTATGTGCGAAATTCCGTTTTACGAGGGAATTTTGCATCCTTACATCCCATCTATGAAGAAAATGGATCGATTTTACGGGAGGCAG